GGCTGTAACCTTCCGCTGAAATCAGGGAGGAACTATGATTTTTTTTTCTTTCATTTGCTGGAAACTTAGCTCGTTTATCTTTTTTCTTGTTGCCCTAAATGTTCACTAAGCTAACACTTGAAGCTATAAGCTCAGTAGCTAATCATATATTATTGTGTGTTCTCATAAGAGTAAAAAAAAAAGATTGCAATATTGTATAATGTAAATTAACTATCTCAGCCTAATTTATCTGAAAGTGAGCTGAAAACTTTGCACAGTCGTAAAGATGAGCTTGATCAAATTTATGTGAATTTAGCTAAAGGAGCATTCATAAGATCTAACGGAGCCCGCGGGGGGACACAGGTTTTTTTTTTCCTTTTGCGTTCCCATGCAATATTGTTTTGCGTTCCCACGCAAAAGTTTGTTTTGTATATGAACTGAATTAAATCAGACTTTTATTTTGAAATATCCGGTTACCAAAACAGGATGTGTCGCCACAAGTTCGTGAAATTGACATTGATGTTGCGTGGCTGCACTGTGTTAAAATATTGGCATATGACTTACTTCCATGCGTGGCTGTGTGATATATTCATTCTGAAGCTGAATTAAAGCAGTAGGCTAACTCACTAATGATGAACATGTGAGATGGTTTCATGCAGAGGGTGGTGGGGGTTGTTCATGATGGCTGTCAGGTTTGCCAACATCCTCCTCTCTCCCACCRCAACCACAGGCTCCAGAGGACATCCCAGCACAAAGCTTGACCTCCGTATCAGTTCGTCCATCCTATTTCTGTCCCKTTCAGTACATCCAGCCCCCCAGCAGACCACTCCATAGAAAAGGGCAGACGCTACCACCGTGTCATAGAATGTCTTTAACAGAGTCCTGCAGACTCCTCAGTAGGTGGAGTCGACTCTGGCCCTTCTTATACAGGACGTCTGTGTTCATAGTCCAGTCCAGCTTGTTGTTGAGGTGAACACCAACTTGTAAGAGTCCACTGTCTCAATGTCTTTTCCCTGGATGTTCACCGGTGCTGTTGGGGGTGGCTTCCTCCTGAGGTCTATGACCATCTCCTTCATCTTGCTGGCATTGATTTGCAGAGCGTTGGTCTCACACCAGCCAACAAAGTCACTGATGACCCCCCTGTATTCCTCATCATTCCCATCTGATACGCATCCAATGATGGCCGTATCATCCGAGAATTTCTGAAGGTGGCAGTGGTCCGAGTTGTACCTGAAGTCTGACAAGTACAGACTGAACAGAAAGGGTGAGAGGACCGTGCCCTGTGGTGCCCCCATGCTGCAGACTACCACATCAGACCCACAGTCGCGGAGCCTCACATACTGTGGTCTGTTGGTGTGGTAGTCGATGGTCCATGCTGTCAGCTGCCTGTCCACTCCGGCTCCCTCCAGCTTCCCTCTCAGCAGAGCAGGCTGGATAGTGTTGATAGCACCGGAGAAGCCAAAGAACATGACTCACAGTGTTTCCTGCTTGCTCTAGGTGAGAGAGACGCTGCAGGTAGATGACAGCGTCCTCCACCCCGATGCCCGGCTGGTAGGCGAACTGCAGGGGGTCKAGTGCTGGGCTCACCACAGGACAAAGATGGTGCAGGATGAGCCTCTCCATAGTCTTCATCAAGTGAGAAGTCAGAGCCACAGGTCTGTAGTGGTTGGGCTCCCTGGGTTTTGTGATCTTTGGCACTGGAACCTCGCAGGAAGTCTTCCACAGATCAGATTTTTATGTAGAAACACTATATTTCCACCTAATCATTCCAACCATCAGTCCAACTAAATAAAGGGCTGTAGTGCTGATAATCTTAACTCATCACGGCACTTATTTTATCTTTGAATTACAGTAAAACAAATGCGAGCAATTTAAGAGATGTTTAGATTAGACTGAAGCACACATCTAGATTTGCACAATTTATTAGACCACAAATACTCAAATTTTATTTATAAAAAGCCCCATGAGCTTTTGCTGCTCGAGTGTACGTCAAATTTTCTGCACTGCATTGGCAAACAAAAAAACAAAAAAATGTGGCCTACCACACTGGCTGCTAACTTAATCATAAAAAATAAAACAGCTTTACTTAAAAAGCATTTGCATTTCACATACTATATTATTGTGTTTGGCCTGCAGCCCTCAGATTTATTTTYATTTTGGCCCTCTCTGGGAAAATRTTTGGGCACCCCCATCTTAAACGCTGTGCACCTCCACCTAGTGGTGGAACGCCGTCGTTCCCTGGTTAGTTTAATTTTAACCGTTTCATCAATGCTGGCTTATGCTTATTTTAAGACATGTTTAAATCCTTGAAGTTCTTGCGGGCCACATTTGGCCCACCGGCCTTGATTTGACACACGTGGCTTAGATACAAGAAAATGTTGCAAAGATAAAATCAGCATAAAAGTTATTTAATCATTYATACAGCCACCAATGCGAGAAGCAGTGGAATTGATTTCATTTACAGTAAACATAAACTTGGAAATAATCCAGCTCATAACTTTAAAACAAAAACTTTCTTCATCAGAACTTCAAAAAAAGACTGAACTATGAGAGAACTAATAKAACTTAATGTCATTAAATCTGCTCCTTAGTTGACTATAAGACAAACAGAAAYTGTGAACATTAGTTTTCTGACTCACTCTGAACACATGCAGCTATTTATATCTTTGCTCTGAGCAAGTTGCAATTTTTAGAGCTTTCAAAAACAGATGCATTTACTTCTAGTGTCTAATGAGAGGTGAAAACAACCTTAYCAGGCAGGTAAATGTTTGTTGGGCTTATGAATGCATTTTAATCTTATTTAAATGTTTTCTTCTTAAATTACTGCAGTGCTTTTTGTAGCTGATAAATTAATGTATAAAAATATTTTCCACATATTCGGATTGTTATTTTGCAAGCTGTGGCACCACGACTGCTGTGATCCTCACGTTAATGTTAATATAAGGTGATATGAGCAGGATGAAAAATAAAGGTGAGTCGCCTCTTTATCTGCATCATTAAACATACAGAAGAGTAAATCAGTCATTCCTTGGGGAAAACAAAACAGCAAATTTCTTCCTCTACACATAAATCACTTGAAACAAAATAAAACCAAAAAAAAAAGAAAGAAAGAAAACACCACACACATTTACATTTTTCCTCAACCATCCGGGGCAGCTATGTGAAGCATTACTGAATAAATGTTATTATGACATCGTTTCTATTGGGATCACAGAGAACAAAACGAGCGGCTGGATGTCCGTCTGTAAAGTCTGCTGAGAGCACGGATCCTGGTGGGTTTTTTCCCCCCTCTTCTTCTCCTCAGAGCCACCAGAAGCGCACGTAGACAATGAGCATGATGAAAAAGACGCCCCCTGCTGCCAGCTTGGCGTAAGTGGACCGGGTGTTCAGATACTTGGCGTCGCTCCTGTACTTTTTTGACAGGCTGGACAAGTTGCTGGCCTTGGAGTCGAGCGCTGTGCGGGAGGAGGAAATAAAAAAAGAAAAACAGGAGAGAAGAAGGAAAGGTTAAAACTAATTCTAACTTTGAGGCGTCCACTTGAATCTGAGGGAAGACGACTCACCAGACAGAGCCTCTCCCCTCTGCAGAACCTCCTCGATGTTGGCCACCATGATCCTCTGCACATCCTGCAGCTCTGTGTTGATGCTGCCCAGATTCCTCCGTGCTCGGCTGTCGATGTACAACTTCTTGGTTTTTTGAATGTAGGTGTCTGATGTGACAGAAAGATAAAATGCTAGAACACGTGTCCAACTCAAAGCCGGGTGATTTCTGCCAATGAG